ATATTAAAGAGTAAACAAGAAATAAGTACAAATTATAACACAAATCAATCATAGCTAATTGATAATTTTCATAATGCTACATTAAAGTTATCAAAATTTAAAAGAATATTGTGGCAATTAGTGTTGGTTCTTACCTTAAACTCTTTAAAGAGTTCATCCTTGCACATTGAATCTACTTTTTCCCAAGAGTGCCATGTTCCCTTAAAATTGGACCTCAAAATATCTTTGATTGCACGTCCACACAATGCGTTATTGAACCTGAAAATATATAATAACAAACTTATATTAAAAAAATAATTACACAATAATAAGTAATTTTTTTCATACTTGAAAATATAACCTTAATAAGTTTGTTTTTAAAAGTTTGAACTTACTCTGTTGTTCCATACAAACAAAGCTCTTTTTTTCTTGTTATTGGATCTATTGGCGTGTCAAAACCCTTCCTTTTAACACTTTGATCATAATTGTATGGAGAACATGTTGAACCATGATATGATGGAACACCATCTTGATCCTCATCACATACACCTCTCTCATTACTATCGTCTCCCTCATCTTCATCGCTAATGTTCACATCATCATCATCACCATTAACTCTCTCATAACTCCTATATAAATTATGTCCTCCATAAACAAGTTGGTTATCTCGAGAGAAACCTCCTTGAGTTTGAAGCAAATCTTGGAAATGACAGCCCTCATAATATTGATATGCATCAGCCCTCCCATAATCATGTTGAGGAGGATGTGTACTCCCCAGAGTAGGTATATAATACTCATTTGCGTTCTGATACACAGGTTGATGAAATGTGGATCCTTTGTTATTATGCCTTGATGTAGTTTGAAATAATTTGGATGAAGTGGACCTGTCACTCGATGTGGACCTGTCACTCCTAGAATCTAATATGGATCCTCGTCGAGGCATGCTAAAAACCAGAAAAAATATATACATTATGATATGAATATATACAATATAACAATAAATTAGCTTATAATTAAACTATGAGGAACAAAAAATTCATAGATATTTTCATTAAGCATTCCTTGCAATGATAAAAATCAGCCATGAAGTTTAAATTGTCAAAAGCCAATTAACACAAACAATAATAAAAATAAAAATCTAAATAATTAATTAAGCAGAAATCAAAATTTATGAGTATACTTACCTTAATGTTTGTTCCTATAAATCAAAACATTGAGTAGGAAGAACCTTTTCATTCATGCTTCAACATCTATAAGCAAGAAAAATATAACATCAGAATCACAATTTAAAGATTGATACTTGAAAGGTTAGAAATTTTTTTAAAGGTCAATGAAAATGATATATGTAATGTGATACATAACACACTTGAATAAAATAATAAATAAAAAACATTGAAAGCGTAAATATTGTCAAATAATATGAAATCATCCATACATATAATAAAGATAATTCATTACATATACTACGAAATATAATTAACTTGTGTTACTCATGATTATCATCACTCCTAACCATCACCATTATACAATCATCCTCATCCTCATCATCATCATCATCTTCTTCTTCTTCACCATCACCATCATCTTCTTCTTCTTCATTATCTTTGTTTCCCCAATTTATGTCAAGTTGAAGCAATTCATGTTGCCCGATTTCTTCATAATAAGATGATTCAACGAGTATATTTGGATCATCAAGTGTTTGAGTAAGAAGGACACGACATGGTTGAGAAATCTCATGTGATTGATCAACATCAAATGATCTTACATTGTTGGCATCTTCAATAAATTCACCCATGTCAACATTATAACGACTTCTAGCAGTTGTCTTAATAACCGTCCACATTCAGATGATTTATTACCAGGTGAATATGTATAGTAGACTTGTTGACATTGTTGTGCTAAGACAAAATCTTCATTTCCGTGTAGTCGAGATGTATGTTTGATTTCAACCATTCGAAGGATGCACTCTAATCCCTCGTCTTGTACCATACCAATTACATTTAAACATAAATAACTTGCACTTACTCCCTAAGTATTTTAGTCGAACAACTTCTTTAAGCATTCCATAATAATCATGTACATTATCATCATAGCAACTTCCTTTGACACAATCTCCACTATTCATTGTCTTTTTAAAACGGCCATAACATTGAGTATGAAATTTAAAACCATTCACATAATACCCATTATAACATTTCACTGAAGTTCAAGGGCCCATAGCAAGTTCAAAGAGCTGATTTTCAATTCTGTTAAATTGGTATTCCACCTAGCATAATAGTTAACTCCATAAGAAATAATGATTTAAAAGAGATTAATAATATTTTTAAAGTAACTAATTGACATAAAATATAAATTAATTTTATTAAAATACTTACATTATTTTTTAACCAATTTGGAAAGATCACTTTGCATAATTTTTCAATTTCACCATCACTCGCATGTGGTTGTGTGACTTTAGCTCTTGACGACATTGCCTAAAATTTAAAGATGTTAAAGTTAATAATAAATTATTATAAATTTAGTACAAAATAATATTTCATACTTACTCTAAATAAGGCTTCAATTCTTGACAATTGAATATCACATAGTTATGCGCAATTTGCATTTCAGCATGTGACAACTGCCTTCTATAAAATCTTTTGGATAATTTTTTCCCTAGATAGGAAAAAATAGAGAGACATCCATCTACACTTTTAAGGCCACCATCATCATTCTGTGGAACTCGATTCCAAATTGTTTGCACGTCATCACCAAAATAATGAGATGCAAAATTGGTAATTTCATCAATTAAGTACGCTTCACATATGGAACCCTCAACTTTAGCTTTATTGGTAACTTTCTTCTTCAAATAAAACATGTACCTATATCATTTCTGTCAATTAGTTTATTTTAAAAAATAAAAAGCGAATAAAATTAACATAGTATGAAAACATATCTTTCAAATGGATACATCCATCGATATTGAACTGGTCTACCAACTTTTGCCTAGTAAGGTAGATGTATTGTCAAGTGTTCCATGGAGTCAAAGAAGGATGGAGGAAAAATCCTTTCAAGTTTGCAAATTATTTCAATTATATTCATTTGCATTAACTCCATATGCTGGGCATTTAAATTTGTTGAACAAATATCTTGAAAAAATACAGACAGTTCAATTAATGCCTCCCACAATGGCCTAGGTAAGTAAGGTCGGAAAGCGATTGGAAGAAGACTTTGAAAGAAGACATGACAATTATGGCTCTTCATCCCCGAAACCTTACATTGTGCCTCTTTCACACATCGTGAAATGCTTGAAGCATAACCATCCGGAAATGATAATTCCTCCATCCATGACAAAACTTCTTGTTGTTGTTTCTTGTGTAGACGATAAGTGCCTTCAGGTTTGTAAACCCGGCCACTCATATTTTGTTGCAAATGTAAATTTGGCTTATGACAATACAATTGAATATCCAACCTAGGCTTTAAATTGTCCTTGCTTCTATAAGGACAATTCATTACTGTATAAAAAATATCATCAAAGACATTTTTCTCAATATGCATGACATCAAGATTATGACGAATCAAATTTGTATGCCAATATGGAAGCTCCCAGAAAATACTCTTCTTCACCCAATTGTGTTTAACACTAAAGCCAGGAATTTTATCATTATATGATGAACCTCCATTATGTCCCTCAGTATACTTGGACACTTCATTTAACATTTCCAAACCAGATGGACGAGGTATAGGAGGGAGCCTTTCAATTACTCCTTTCAAAAACTTATCACATTGATGTCTATATGGGTGGTTCATAGGTAGGAATCGTTGATGACAATATAAAAGCCTTGTTATGCTCCATACAATAAGGACAAGACAGATTTCCATGAGTACTCCACCCCGATAACATGCCATATGCTGGAAAGTCACTAATGGTCCACATCAAAGCTGCCTTTAATTGAAAATTTTCCTTTCTATATATGTCATATGTTTCAACACCAATAGAACATAAATTCTTTAACTCATCAATCAAAGGTCTTAGAAAAACATCAAGCTTTTTGCCCAGATTCTTTGGCCCAGGAATCATCATTGTCAAAAACATGTCAAATGGACAAAACCCATCAGTGCACAACCCTAATTGAATATTTCTCGGATCTGATGCAAAGCTGAAGTGGACACGATTAAACTCCTTCCATGCCTCCCCGTCAGATGGGTGCACCATAACCCCATTATCTGACTTATGAAAATGATGTCATGTCATATCTTTGGCATGATATGAAGACATGAACAGTCTCTGAAGCCTTGGTGTTAAGGGAAAGTATCGGAGTTGCTTCTCTGCCTTATTGGAACCTTTACTAGTTGGATTTCTGGGTTTGTATCGTGAATTTACACAAATTACAATTTATTTTCATTGCATCTGCCCCATAGTACAACATATAATAATTCAAACACACATCATATTTCTTATGACCAAATCTAAGTGGCCGCATAAATTTCTTGGCATCATAAAAATTTGATACCAAATTTTCATCATTAGGCATGTAACTTTTTGTAAAATCAATAAAATTGTTGAAGGCATTCTGAGTCAAATTTAAAGTTGACTTCATATTAAGCAATTATACACAAGCAGATAATTTGGATTATTTGGTACACCCATCCCACAACGGCTCCTCCGCAGCTTTCAAAGCTTAAAAAATTTAGTTGCCTCCGGATTTGGAATTTCCCCTACTACCACAGGACTAGACACATTATCATTATAGAATGCATCACCAACCCCCATTGCATCCATAACTAGATTCCTATATGGATTCTCTAGACAAACATCATTCATAACATGACTCATTCCAATTGATGAAGGTCTAGCCAATATTGGTTCTGCAACATAAGGCTCCAATAGATGTTTACAAACATCATCTTTCTTTAAAAACTTTTGAATTTTGCACCTCACACAAGGACATCTAATTTCCCCCCAGATATATTTTTATCAATTGAAAATGCAAAATTGATAAATCTTTTAACACCGGTAATGTATTCAGGATGAAGGCGACCATCCATAAGACGATGATACATCCACGATCGATCATCCATGTTAATCTAATTAACAGGACAACACCAATAAGCTTTTTTAGAAATAAGCGTACTTCTTTAACTACTAGTACTTAAACAATCCTTTAAAATAAAATATGTACAACATAAATAAACTTTAATTATTTATCAGTTCACACATATATCAAGCTAAAAAATGTTAATGATTGGATATATGCACATGTGTTTGTAAGAATTTGGATAACTGTTTTCCTTCTACTCTTTGTTATTGAATTTTTGCTAATTGCTTTAAATAAATCTTAATAATTTTCATTTATATTTTCCAACTATTGAAAAAAGTAGACTTTTAGATTATGTTCGATTAGTATTTTATATAGAATAAACGGATAAAGAAAAAAAATATTTAGTTGAAAAAATATTAAATAAATTTATCTTTAGTGTAGTTTTGGAGTTCATTTTTTTTATTGATCCTTCTAACTTTTGTTACCACCTCAAATAGTTTTTTTATTTTTATTGGATCCATCAAACTTTTTATTTTTATTCGGATCTTTTTTGGTAAACTAAGAAATGGTAAATGAAATCATAATCATATATTCGGATCTTTTTATTTTTCTTCCAACATTTGTATCTATCTCTTTAATCATATACAGTGTATCTATCTTTTATATCATAGTGAAATAATAATTAAATAATAATTATAATACTGGTGGATGAAAACATAAATACATGGTGTATCGTAAATTCTTTACACACAGTCCAATGTAGTTAATTTCATGTACTAGTAGATTTGTTTCCTTCCTTCTTCTCTTAATACGTATGGAGCATAATATTATTGTTAATTAATTGACATGAGGAGACCGTAAGAGAAATGTTGTCTTCTCAATCTCAACGTCACAATATGTTTCAAGAGTTAACAAGTTGCAT